GAATGGAGTGTGTCTGTATGTATCCAAGAAGAACTACTAATCCTCACTAAGACAGCAGGATCTGTGGCACTTTTACTTCAGGCTATTCCCATCTGAACTACCTTCTCTACTGAGCAGTACAGCAGCGAGGAAAAACTAGCAGCCTCACAGTCAGTGGACAGGACTGACCTTTGGAGCTCCATTAAAATTCCGATCCCCATAGCACTGTCAATATTTTATCTAAAGTAGCAACTCCTTGGAAAACCCCCATTCTCAGGATTTGGGGGCTGTTTGATTTGACTCAGAGTTCAGCCCAGCAGTAAAAAATAAAATTTATTTTAAAAATTTTAAAAAGCCCTATCCCTGGGGCATTACCAAAAAGAACAATCATCTGCTGGCAAAATCTAAGCTACCTAGGCCTATGATTTCAGATATAGTGAAACAAGAACCTGTTCAACGTATAAAAGGAAATCTTGAGGAACAAAATGACTTTGAAAAACTCCAATATATTCATAGGGATCTATACGGCTGTGAACATGCCTAGAAATGAAACTACCTCATTCAAATACTACCTTGTGGCCCTGCTTAAGCAATACATGAAAGCTAAAATTAATCTGTAAACTGCCTGAAGTTTGAAGGAATACTTCCACACACAAATCCCCCAAAGTGTGGAAGACATATAGACAAGATATTAAAGAAATCTTGTGACCAGTCATTGCTGACTCAAGTATATCCCCTAGGAAGTCAGGCTTAAGATAGAAACTTTAAAAATAAGAAAATAAAATAACTTTGTGGCAGGGAATGAAGGATCTATAGAATTCATCCAGGAAACTCACTGAACAAATGAGCGCCACCAACAAAGAAAAACCAACAAATCCTTGAAAGGAGATGGTTGATACCACAGTCATTATATTATCTAAGAAATCCACTTTCAACCAAAAATTATATGACATGCAAAGAAACAGGAAATTATGCCACAAACACATTTTTAAAAAAATAAAATAACAGAAAATGTACCCAAAGATATTGGACATAGTTGACAGAATCTATAAAGTTGGTATTATAAATTTGTTGAAAGAACTAAAAGAAGCCAGGATTGAAGAATTAGGGGTAAATATGACAACTATGTCTCACTAAATAGAAAATGGAAGTAAGGAGATAAAGATCATCTTAAAAATCAAATAGAAATTCTGGAAATGGAAATTGAAGAGAAAAATTCAGCAGAGGACTCAACAGATTTGAGTTGACAAAAGAATAAGCAAACTTGAATAGGATCAAACTTGAATACTAATTTCTGTATACAGGAAGTATATACAGCCTGAGTTATAGAAGAAAAAAAAAAAACTCAGAGACCTATGGACCCACCATCAAGCATACCAACATATGTATAAGGGGATTCATAAAAGGAAAAGAGAAAAAGAAAGGGGCAAAATAAATATCTGAAGCAATAATGGCCAAAAGCACCTAAATTTGATGAAAAGCATTAATATGCACATCTAAGAAGCCCAGCAAATTCTAAGAAGAGATCCACGCGTAGTCAAACTGTCAAAAAACAAAGACAAAAGTTCTATTGATAGCAGCAAGAGAGATGCTACTTATCACATATATGAGAGCCTCAATAAGATCAACAGCTGACTTATCAACAAACACCATAGAGACCAGAGGAGGAGGATATATGCTAAAGGTGGGGGGGGGGGGGGACTGTCAGTGAAGAATTCTATATGTGGCAAAACGATTCTTCAAAAATGAAGAAATTTAGACATTCCTAGATAAACAAAACAGACAATTCAGGGCCACCTGGGTGGCTCAGTCAGTTGAGTGTCCAACTTTTGTTTTCTGCTCAAGTCTGATCCCACAATTGTGGGATCAAGCCCTGCATTGGGCTCTGTACTGAATGTGGAGCCTGCTTGAGATTCTCTCTCTCTCTCTCTCTCTCTCTCTCTCCTTTCTCTCTTTCTCTCTCTCTCTCCCTCTTAATCTCTCTAAAATAAAGATTAAAAAAAACTTTTTTTTAAACAGACAATTCATCTCTACCAGGCCAGCCCTAAAAGAAATGCTAAAGGGAGCCCTTCAGGCTGAGCTTAGAGGACAACTAGACAGTAATTAAAATCCACACAATTAGGGGCGCCTGGGTGGCGCAGTCGGTTAAGCGTCCGACTTCAGCCAGGTCACGATCTCGCAGTCCGTGAGTTCGAGCCCCGCGTCAGGCTCTGGGCTGATGGCTCAGAGCCTGGAACCTGTTTCCGATTCTGTGTCTCCCTCTCTCTCTGCCCCTCCCCCGTTCATGCTCTGTCTCTCTCTGTCTCAAAAATAAATAAACATTAAAAAAAAAAAAATTTTTTTAAATCCACACAATTAAGTAAAAACACCAGTAAGACTATAGATAAATAGAAAATATGGTAATGTCTCTTATTTCCTATCTGACTTAAAAGTGCATAAAGTAATCATGTAAATCTGTGTTGATGAGCTGGTTATGTATAAAAATATAACATATAATAAGAGCACAAAAGAAAGGGGAGGACAATAGCTATATTGGAGCAAAGTTGTTATATGCACTAGGAATTAAGTTAGTTAATATGCTAATTGTAATCTCTATGGCAACCATGAAGAAAATAATTCAAAAACTATAAAAGAAATAACTAGGGAATTAAAATAGTATACTAAAATAATTTAACAAAGTAGTAGTGCCTTTAATTCAAAAGACATAAAACATGTACAAAACTAATAGTAAATGGGAGACATAAATCCTGCCTTATCAGCAATCAAACTAAGTGTAATTGGAATAAACACTCCTATCAAAAGGCAGAGATTGGTAGAATGGATAATATATGACTCAATTATGTGCCATCTACAAAAGACACTTTAGGTTCAAAGATACAAATAAGTTTGGGGGGGGGTGCCTGTCTGGCTCAGTGACTCTCAATCTCAGGATTGTAAGCTTGAGCCCCACACTGGGTATACAGATTACTTTAAAAAATAATATCTTTTTTAAAAAAGATACAAATAACTTGAAAGTAAAAAGATGGGGGAAATTATGCCATGCAAAAAGTAAAAGAGAGCTGGAGTGGCCATTCTAGTATCAGACTAAACTGGACTTTAAGACAAAAAATTGTTACTAGAGACAAAGAAGGACGTTTTATAATGACCATAAAAAGGGTAATCCATAAGGAAGCTATAAGAACTATAAAGACATAGGCACCTAACTACAGAGCACCCCAAATACATGGAGAATTGAGGACAGAAATTGATAATTCAAAATAAATTATTGGAGACTTTAATACTGCACTTTCCATAATGGATCAAATCAGGCATAAGATTGTTAAGGAAAGAGAAAATGACACTACAAACCAACAAAACCTAACAGAACTGTACAGAACACTCCACCCAACAACAGCAGAATATGCATTCTTCCCAAACACACATGGAACATTCTCCAAAATAGACTGACCATATGCTAGGTCATAAAACAAGCCTCAATAAATTTAAAAGAATTGAAATCATCCTAGGTATGTTCCCTAACTACAATGGGATGCTATTAGAAATCAATAATAATTTGAAAATTCACAAATATGTGGAAATGAAACAACAGACTCCTAAAAAACCAATAGGTCAAATAAATCACAAGGGAAACTAGAAAATACTTAGGTGCATGAAAACAAAAACACAACATACCAAAATATATAGGCTGCAGCTAAACCAGTTCGTAGAGGAAAATTTATTGATGTAAGTGCCTATATTAAGGAATAGGAAAAATCTGAAACTGATAACCACCTTAAGAAACTACCTGGGGCACCTGGGGTGGCTCAGTCTGTTACGCATCTGACTTTTGGTTTCAGCTCAGGTCATGACCTCACACAGTTCATGAGTTCGAGCCCCACATGAGGCTCCGTGCTGGTGGTGCAGAGCCTGCTTGGGGTTCTCTCTCTCTCTGCTCCTCCCCTGCTTGTGCGCTCTCTCTCTCTCTCTCTCTCTCTCTCTCTCTCTCTTTCTCTCTCTCTCTCTCTCTCTCTCAAAATAAATAAACTGGAAGGAAGGAAGGAAGGAAGGAAGGAAGGAAGGAAGGAAGGAAGGAAGGAAGGAAGGAAGGAAGGAATTAGCCAAGGAAAAGGAAACTAAGCCCAAAGCAAGCAGAAGCCAAGAAATGAAAGAAAATAAGAAGGGAAGAAAAACATAAAGAAAACCAATTAAAAGATTTTTTTAAGATTAACAAAATTTACAAACCTTTAGCTAGGCTGACAAAAAAAAAAGAGAAGACTTAAATTGCTAAAATCCATAATGAAAGAGGATACTATTACCAACCTTAACAGAAAAGGAAGCTACATAAATAGCCAATAACACTTGAAAAGCAGCTCAGCATCATTAGGCATTAGGTAAATGCAAAAAAAGCCACAATGAGAAATACCACTTCACAACCACTGGGATGGCTATGATCAAAAAGACAGAGGAAGCATTAGCAAGGATGTGGAAAACTTGGAACCTTCATACATTATTGGTGGGAATACAGAATATAGAATGCTGTGGCCATTTTGGAAAACAAGTTGACACAAAGACTTGTATGTGAATGTTCACACAGCAGCATTATTCATAAAAAGACCACACATTGTATGATTGTATTTATATGAATCTCTAGAAGAGGCAAATCTATAGAGAAACTGATAAGTGATTACCCATAGCTGAAAGAGTAAAGGTTAGAAATAGGAGTAACTTCTAATGGGTATGGGATTCTTTTTGGGTGATGAAAATGTTCTAAAATTTGTGGTTATAGTTCAACAACGTTTTTCATATACTCAAAAACACTACACATTTTAAGTTGGTGATGTTTATGGTATGTGAATTATATCTCAATAAACCTGCTTTCTTTGAAAAGTGAATTATTAATGTTAATAATCGAGACATTTCATTTCACATTTTTATCCTTAAAGAATTAAGTTCTGGCACCTAAATTGTTAACATTTTTATCATTTTAATGTTTGATAAGAGCAATGTTTACAAAGATGCCTTTTTTTTTTTAATAAATGTAGCTGGACAACTCAGCCAGTCAGCACATTTAGCTCTCCAACTACCATACAATGTACTTGGTTTAGGTCGAAGTGCAAATTTTCTTGATCATCTTTATGTTGGCATTCCCCGTCCATCTGGAGAGAAGGTGAGTAAAAATTTATTTTGTTTACAATGAATCTGTGTTTTAACATTCACTATTTAGTATTTGAATTCAACAATTTGAATATTTGAATTCAAATACTTCAAACTTTTTTAATCTCTTTAAAGAGATGTAGAAAAATAGACATAATGACTTAAGAAAAAGAAATAGTGATCTAAACTTGCCTTACATAGAACACGTCATAATTTGAAGATATAGTTTTCTAGCACCTCTCTCATAAACCTCATGACCTCCTATCCCTCTTTTCTCCTTTTTTTCTTCATCTTGAATATCTAACATAATATGTATTTTATTTTGTTTGTCATACTCCACCTCCACTCGAATTTTAGCTTCAAGCAGCATTTGTACATAGCACTTTGAACAATGCCTGCTACACTGTTGAATAAGTATTTGTTGAATTAATAAATCTGGGAGACAGAAATATAATCCTTCAAAAGATAAAAAAAAATTGCCACCAGGGCACAGGAGCCCTATTTGGTGCTTATTATATATCAATTTAGCTTAATCCATACATAGGATTTCAATTAATCAAGGAGTACTTAAGCTTTTTCCTTATTTATTTATAATAATAATTGGGGTTTTTTTGGTTTTTGGTTTTTTTTAATATGAAATTTATTGTCAAATTGGTTTCCATACAATAGCCAGTGCTCATCCCAACAGGTGCCCCCCAATGCCCATCACTCACTTTCCCCTCCCTTCCACCCCCCATCAACCCTCAGTTTATTCTACTTTTAAAAGTCTCTTATGGTTTGGCTCCCTACCTCTCTAACTTTTTTTTTCCCTTCCCCTCCCCCATGGGCTTCTGTTAAGTTTCTCAGGATCCACATAAGAGTGAAAATATATGGTATCTGCTTTCTCTATATGACTTATTTCACTTAACATAACACTTTCCAGTTGCATCCACATTGTACAAAAGGCCATATTTCATTCTTTCTCATTGCCAAATAGTATTCCATTGCATATATAAACTAACATTTCTTTATCCATTAATCAGTTGATGGACATTTAGGCTCTTTCCATAATTTGGCTATTGCTGAAAGTGCTGCTATAAACATTGGGGTACAAGTGCACCTCTGCATCAGCACTCCTGTATCCCTTGGGTAAATCCCTAGCAGTACTATTTCTGGGTCATAGGGTACATCTATTTTGAATTTTTTGAGGAACCTCCACACTTTTCCAGAGCAGCTGCACCAGTTTGCATTCCCACCAACAGTGCAAGAGGGTTCCCATTTCTCCACATCCTCGCCAGCATCTATAGTCTCCTTATTTGTTCATTTTAGCCACTCTGACTGGCGTGAGGTGGTATCTGAGTGTGGTTTTGATTTGTACTTCCCTGATGAGGAGCAACATTGAGCATCTTTTCATGTGCCTGTTGGCCATCTGGATGTCTTCTTTAGAGAAGTGTCTATTCATGTCTTCTGCCCATTTCTTCACTGGATTATTTGTTTTTTGGGTGAGGAGTTTGGTGAGTTCTTTATAGACTTTGGATACTAACCCTTTGTCCGATATGTCATTTGCAAATATCTTTTCCCATTCCGTTGGTTGCCTTTTAATTTTGTTGATTGTTTCCTTTGCGGTGCAAAAGCCTTTTATCTCATGAGGTCCCAATAGTTCATTTTTGCTTTTAATTCCCTTGCCTTTGGAGATGTGTCAAGTAAGAAACTGCTACGGCTGAGGTCAGAGAGGTTTTTTTTCCTGCTTTCTCCTCTAGGGTTTTGATGGTTTCCTGTCTCACATTCAGGTCCTTCATGCATTTTGAGTTTATTTTTGTGAATGGTGTAAGAAAGTGGTCTAGTTTAATTCTCCTGCATGTTGCTGTCCACTTCTCCCAGCACCATTTGTTAAAGAGACTGTCTTTTTTCCATTGGATACTCTTTCCTGCTTTGTCAAATATTACTTGGCCGTACTTTTGTGGGCCCAATTCTGGAGTCTCTATTCTATTCCATATGTCTATGTGTCTGTTTTTGTGCCAATACCATGCTGCCTTGATGATTACAGCTTTGTAGTAGAGGCTAAAGTCTGGGATTGGGATGCCTCCCACTTTGGTCTTTTTCAATATTACTTTGGCTATTCAGGGTCTTTTGTGGTTCCATACAAATTTTAGGATTGCTTGTTCTAGCTTCGATAAGAATGCTGGTGCAATGTTGATTGGGATTGCATTGAATGTGTAGATTGCTTTGGGTAATATTGACATTCAAACAATATTTATTCCTCTAATCCATGAGCATGGAATATTTTTCCATTTCATTGTATCTTCTTCGATTTCCTTCATAAGTTTTCTATAGTTTTTAGCATACAGATCTTTGTGATTCTTAGTTCAGTTGTAAATGGGATCGGTTTCTTTGTCTTTCTGTTGCTTCGTTGTTAGTGTAAAGGAATGCAACTGATTTCTGTACATTAATTTTGTATCCTGCGACTTTGCTGAATTCATGTATCACTTCTAGCAGACTTTCGGTGGAGTCTGTTGGGTTTTCCATATATAGTATCATGTCATCTGCAAAACGTGAAAGCTTGACTTCATCTTTGCCAATTTTGATGCCTTTGATTTCCTTTTGCTGATTGCTGATGCTAGCACTTCCAACACTATGTGAAACAACAGCGGTGAGAGTGGACATCCCTGTTGTGTTCCTGATCTCAG